GGTGGCGGCCGTGCCCTCCCCGGGCGGTGCCTCCTCGCCGCCCCTGGCAAGGGCGTGATGAGGGGCTGACCCTGGGCTCCCCCCTCGGTGGGGCCGGGAGCCGGCGGGGAGGGTGTGCGGGGGCTGAGCGGGCTCAACCCGGGGAAATGCGGGTTTTCTCCTCCCCGGCCCCTCGCCCCCCTCGGCGTGGGCGGCTGGTGCCCGCTGGCGTTATGGGCTGCAGGCCTGGTGGGTAGGGAGGCAGAAATGTGGTGTCATTGCTTTCCAGGAGCAGGTGTAAGTAGTTGAAGATGAGGGTGGTGGAGCATCTCTTACAGAAATTCTCTGTTCAAGGTTAAAGCCCGGCCCCTCCCATCAAAGCCTGGTGTCTTGCCGTGGCACAAGCACATCTTTTGGATGGGTGTAGGCAGAGACCATTTCCTCGTGAAGAATGATGCTGTTGTAACTGAGCGTGCTGCTTGCTTTATTAAGCTTTTTTTTTGTCTTCACTTTTTCCAGTTGAAATCTTAAATTCTCAGTTGGATTGCTGCAAAGGTCATGAAGGGGTAAAACTGATTTAATGGGGGTTGAGAAGAAGAGAGGCTCTATACCTTCAGGCATGCCACTTCTAAATCTTCATTCAGGCTGCAGCCTGGATGTGAGGCTGGTGGCATGATTTGCAATTGCTTGCTTGCAGTTTTTTTCCCTTGTGGGTGATGTGTGCAGGAAACCCGCCTAGTTTTATATGGACACTATATTGGGTTTCTGGAATCATCCCCTGTGCTGTCTGATTCTGCCTATGTAAAGGATTTCTGGTGTCTGGATGGGTGGGGAGACTTGAACAATACAAAGTTTGCCTTGCTTTGAAATTCCTGTTAGGGATATTTTGAAAGGGCGAGGGAGAAGAGTGAAAGATTGCAATGAATCCTTACTGAGGCTTAATTTTGTGGCTATATCTTCTGAATGTGTGATGAGAGAAGATATAACTTAAAAAAAAAAAAGGGGGGGGGGAGGGGGCGGACAGACGTGAGAGAGCTAAATAAAAGGAGTTTCTTTGCAGCTCCATCCATTTCAATGGTGCAGCTTTCCCAAGCCCCTTTCCGTCGCCTATCATCACCTTCAGGCCGGTCAGAGGAGGGGGAGGATAAGAGCATGAAGGCGGCCAAGCAGCAGGTGAACCCGTCTGGGGAGAACCAACCTCCCTCCAGCCCCCTGCAGTCTGCGCTGAACTCGGCAGCCTCTCCTTCCCAGGCATATGAGACTTACATTGATAATGGGCTTATCTGCCTCAAACACAAGATCAGGAACATTGAGAAAAAGAAGGTAACTTGTTTTTCTTTGGTATGGCACATATTTAAACTGCTAATTGTAAAACTCCGTGCCTATTTTATAATAGCTGGAATGAGGTTGTGTCTGCACATAGAGAGTAATCATGGATTTTTTTAAATAACCCATGAAAGGACCTAAATGTGAATTTGCCAGTGGCTTGTTATCATTTATAACCCCCTGTATAGTAAAGAATGATGTTCTTTACTCTTACTGTTCTGAGATGGGCTACTTGCCTTTGACATTGCGTGAGCATAACACTATTGTTTCAGGTAATCAGGAATGCAGCTAACTATCAACCTGTTCTCAGCTGCCAGCTTTACAGTGCATGTCCAATAGTAAGCAAAAGTAATTGAATGTTGATAAAAACTGGAGATGCTTCTCTAATAGTCTGAATCAGTTCTGAACTAAATTAGAACTGATTTGGAGATGGTTTGTAGTCTTGCAGAAATCTTCATATTTCTTCTATTGATTACGTGCATCTAATATTAGGGTGTAGAGATGTATGTAAAATTGGAAATTAGGAACAGTGTTTCCTCTAACTCATGGAAATGTCAAATTGTATTAAATATGTATTGGACTTCGCTTTGCATAAATCTTTGACTTCCCGTTTTTAAATACAGACAAATGTTATCCACTAGGAAGCTTTTAATCAGAAAGCCTCCAAAGCCTGCTCTCTTGCTTTGAAATGTGCTTTTTGGGGAGGGGGCGGGGGGAACGGGACGTGCAGAACAGTCTTAAGGATAAGGACTGAGATTTTTTTGATACACCTAAAAGATTGTGGGTGTAGCTTGTCAGGCTTTTGCATTCTAAGACTTTTCAGTTGATTGGCAGGTGACTGAAGGCTATGTGCATGATTTTTTAATTGGGTAAATGCTATTTTCTGTAAGATAGAAGAAATAATGGTGCTGTTGCTCTTGATGCTGGGTCAGGGTTACAAGTAAAGCAAATGTATGAATATGTTGTGCTTCTCTAAATGTCTGAAAAGCTTTGTGTTATGCCTTAGAGTGAGAAGAGGGAGTGGATCAGACTCCTGGCCATGTGGCTAGGGGACTTGATCCACCTGCAGGAGATGCAGTATTACTGCTGTCTCATGTCATGCATCACGCTGTCACTTTGAATAATGTCAGATAAGCCTGGCTTCCTCGTGTGATTAACCAACTTGATGTTGTGTTCTTATTCTGTCCAAGGAAGCTTGTTGCAAATTTCTCAAGTATCTTTGGTTTCCACATGAATGGCAATATGGCTTTGACAGCAAATGAAAGTGTGACTTACTAGAATGACTAGAAAGTATTCCTAGTCCTAGGCTCCTATGGGTACTATGTCAGTAAACCCTATGTGGGTAGATTTATAAATGAAATAGTATGCAACTTCATGGCAGTGAGCTCCCCTTTCTTTTCCCTGTGTGTATAAAGGAGCTTGTAAGATCTAATAGGTTAGTTTTGTATAGTTTACATCAGTTTTTAAAGACTGCTTCAGTATATTAGAAACAAATCTTATTTCTTCCCTAAAGACATTAGTCTACTTTCTTTGGAAACAGTGATATAAAGTCTTGATGAAATAACTGAAGCCAGATTTTGAAAGACATGCACTGGAAAACTAAGTAGGATTATTCAAGGATAAGATAAATTCCAGCATTGGCTTGGAAAGGTAAAAAAGCCTAATTTAAAATAAGGACACTGGATGTGTTTGGGGTCTCTTAAAGATCTAGGGTCAATGCATTAGTATTTCTTAAAGGAAATAAAGGTAGCAAGTCAGAAATCAGAGCAAAGATAGGAATGGGAAGTAGGCAGTCCTGGAGGTTGCCAAATCAAAGGCATAGCAAAACTTTCTATGTTCCTCTCCTCTGAAAATGAGAGGATGTAGTAAAATTCCTATTCTGTTGCAGTATACAGGTGACTTGAAATACAGAAAGAATATGTAATTTCACTGATACCCCATAATCCATGTTAGACAGAAATCAATATTAAAAAAATCTACTTTGGATTTTCCTACAGCTCAAACTAGAAGACTACAAAGATCGCCTGAAGAAGGGAGAAGCCCTCAATCAAGACCAGTTGGTAAGCTTGCTTTATGCAGGAGTGGATGGCCTCAAAACCTTCAAACATGTCAGAAGGGACAGGTTGCTGAAGGAGGTGGTGGTGTAGTTTTACAGAAGTAATGCCCGCAGGCTTGTAGTGGTGCCTTTCACAAAACCAAATGGACAAATTATAGGTAATTAAGCTGAATGATGAGGCTGCAAGCTTTAAGCCTTCTGCTTTAACCTTCATGTTGTGTACTGAAGTAATAGAAGGTCCTTGTCTATCTTTGCTCTGAAGACTTTCAGCTTCAGTGCTCCTGCACCTTTATTTCTTGATGAGGTGTCCATATGCAGTTTAGCGCTATGGCATTGCAGTGTTAGAACCTAAACTTAAAGGTTTCTGGGGTAGCTAAATAATCCTTATGACTTCTTCATTAACTGGTGGTCCTTGAAATTGCCTGTTGGCTGCATAGTGCTGTTGGTTACAAGTAGCTCTTAAAGTATAGCTGACAAATGGTCTCTGGTACAAAGGATGATGCTGGTTTAACTTGCATGGGATCTAAAGGCTTCCCAATACAAGAATCTAGCTATGAATTACTGACTTAGTTGAGAATACTCCCCTGTCCTTCTAGTGCTGCCATTAGATGGCTGGGAGTTGCCAGCACTCTCATGCTGTTAGAAAAATGTCTTATTTTGTACCTAAGGTTGCTCGAGTTTGGGATGCCAGGATGCAAGATTGTTATTCAACAAATGGATCCATTTTGTGGAACTAGCTTTAAACTTGCCTGGTGTTAAAATAGTGGGTTTTGGCTTTGTTTTCTGTGTTGGACTAGAATGTATTCTAGAACTGAAACCAAGCTTTTATGCATGAAAGCTATTGTTTCTGAAACATGTCTTAGTAGCAGTGTCACATAATCCAAAGGGTTTACTGCTCTTATCAGCTAGGAGTCACATTTTTAAAATGTACTTCACACATGCTGAAGAACAATTGTGTGATAAAGGACACCAACACTTCAGTGGTAGTGCTGATCCTGCTAATAAACCAGTTGGAAAAATACTTCATTGACTGTTAGCTTTATCACAGTGCAGCAGTATGAGGCCACAAATACTATTTCCTTACTCTGAATCATTTGTAAATGAGAGCTAGACATAAATGGATAAGAGGAAATGATAACTTGCTATTTAAAGTAGAGTAGACCTATTGGAGTGAATGATCATTTAGCTACAAAATGTGTAGTCTCTTGCCTTTTCAAGTGCAGAAATAAAAGAATTAAATGTGAGGTTTTGAAGTACTATGATGACCTAGTTCCTCTAAACTCAATCTGGAATCAGGTGGGCAACAGCCTTTTGTGTTTAGATCATAGCTGTTAAATACAACCTGTTTTCTTATGTCGCTAACAGTAAGACTATTGAACAGTATTGTGTGTAAGCTTGATTAGTCTTGAATGCGTTTTAAAGCTACTTCTGAATTTTACTATTTATCTTGGTACACATCCTGGACTGTGAAAAGCTGTTAAGTGGAAGTGAAATTAAGACTGGGGAACTAAAAAGGTGAAGGATTCTGTAGATGTTTCTTGCAAATGCATCCAGCAGCACTAACTTTGGAAAATGGCAATTAACTTGGTTACTGGCTCTCAGTATTCCCAGCTGAGCTTAACTTTATAAGTGTTAGCATTTTAATCCCAGTTTCTGGGATATCTCAGCCTTCTAAAATGTGGAATTAGATTCAGTCTTGCTAGCGAACTGACAAGTGGTCATCAAACTGTTCAGATAGCTATTGCAGAAGCATGTGTCAACTCAGTATTTAACTAATAACCTAGTGAAGACCTTGGTTTCAGTGGTTAAGATGCAGAAATACTGCCTTTGTCCCTTTCAGAGGCAAATTCTCAATGTATATACAAGTACTGAGACCTGGTGATTGAAGCTAGAGCTGAGTTAATAATTTGGACACTTTTCTAAAGAAACCAAACTGCCTATAATACAGTGGAGCTCTAATGTAACTTTGTCATCTATATTTTTCATTTTCTCACACAGAGGAAGAAGCGCACATCTGGTGATGAACTAGTTTTGCCAGCAATTTGGATTAAACTGTAATTACTTACGGTACATGCCTGCCAGAGCTACTGTGTGCGTGCTAGCCTTACTTTAGGAAACATTTGTTTCAAAAATACAGAGCTTACAGCAAGTTAAATGCTCTCACTGGCAATACTGTGCTGTTTTGCAAGCTGAGCAGACTTTCCTCAGCGCTGTTCCTCCAACATGCTGTTAATGAATGTTAGTAGCAGGTATGACAAAAGAAAGCTATGGCATTACTGCAGCTGAGTTATAGCTTGTCATCAGAGCAGTGGTAACTGTTCCTGATGTTTTCAGGTAGGGAGTTTTACTCTGGGATTTGCATGGTTAAAAGCACAATTACTGCAACCTGCCTAGTAAGATGTTGGTGTTAATTGTGAGTCTTCCTCAGGTGTCAAATGCATGGGCATTAGGGTCTTAGGAGTCATTCTCCCAAGTGCTAAGTGAACTTGCTAATTAGTTCTTAAAAGTTGCTTGATAAGATGTGTGAGGACAACTTGAACTACCAGATGAGTGCTGTACAGTAACTCATGCACTTTGTTGTGCTAAGTAGTATTTAGGCCTAGTAATGTCTAGTATGCTACAAATAAGTGAATACAAGTAACTGAACAATCAAATTGGTAGAACAAATGAATGTGAAACTTGTTTTCCGGTTGCTTAGGAACACATATGGAATTTGCACATGTTCCAAAACTTATTGGGATGGTAGATTAAGCTTTTGTCACTGCACTGATGAAACACTTATCAACACTAACACTACTTTGAAAGAGCTTTATATTAGACTGATGGGTCCATTCTAGAGAAACTTCTGATATCATGTCATAAGCATAAACCAAACAGTGTAAAGCACATATGAACAACTGAAATTAAACTTAACTTGTTACTTCCTAGGTATGCCTTATGGTATGAGGATACAGACAGCATGTCTGAACTGCAGCATTTAGCCATCTTCAGAGCTGTCAAGGAGACTTATAAAAATGAACTGGCTCCTCAGTGGGGAAAAACTCATAAAAATAGGGTATATCAAAATGCAATTAATAATCTACTTTAAGTAGCCTTTCTGAAGGCTGGCTAGTAAAATACTGGTTGAAGTCATTAGTGAAGGCAGGAAATCCGCTTTATTTGTGGAGACCAAATTTAAAAGACTTTCCTGGAAGTATGACTTGCCTTCTATATTGTTTTCTTTCTAAAGTTTGTACAATTTATCTGTAAAGGCATATAGCTAAGCATCAGGGTAAAACATCTGTGCTGAACTTGTCTGTCTCTTGTATTCCTTCCAGGCTTTCATATCAGTATCTGATTTTAAGTAGCTGTTTACCTCATTGCTGAGACTTACGGGAACAAAAGGAAAAATGAAATAACTGGTATACAGACTTTCCTGTTTACTGGTATACCATATATTGCACAAAATGTTGCCTGGGAAGTCTAATACAGACCAGCTTGTAGGATATCTGTGCAGTGGTGTGAGCTGGCTTTGTACTGCATCTCAGACAGTCATGGGTGAATGATACTAACAACTAAACTTAAAGTACCTATTACATAGTATCTTTAGAGAAGTTTGTTTCAGGGAAGTACACACTAAATGAATAGCTATCTAAGTCCAAGGGGATTGAGATGCAACCAGTAGTCTTAAATAAAAATATAAGTTCTCATACTTATTCCTTTGTAGGAGGCAGTAGAGAAATATGATGAAGTAGTACACAACTTGGAATTTGCCAAGGAGCTTCAGAAGACTTTTTCAGGACTTAGCCAAGATGTAAGTATAAAACGCTCTTCCCAATATTGTCAGGGACTAACTGCAAGGTTTGTGCTGCCCTTCTAATGGCTACACTTGTGCCAATACACAGAATACTAGGAAGCTTCCATCTTGGAACATGGGGGAGCAATGTGCTTAAACTGCGTGGAGTAGTGAGTAGAGCAGAGTAAATGTTGACAATTTGTGTACCACTGGCCTCCACAATATAGTTATTCACTGTGTACCCCTGTAAGAACTTGTGCTTAAGTAAACTGAATCACTGGAACTCAGCTGTGTTTCAGATGACTCTAGTTTACTTAGGTTTGAAACCATTAATGACCTTGTTGGTATCTTGTACCTGAGGTGGGCTCATCCCCTGTATAGGTGCAGACTTGCAGGGGAGCAGTCCTACTGGAAAGGACGTGCAGGTCCTTGTGGGCAGTAGGCAAAGTAAATCAAGCGTACCCCTCGAGCAGTGAAGGCTAGACTTAGACTGAGGACCAGCAGATTAAAGAGAACTGATTATTTGTACTTGTTAATCAGTTGTGTCTAGTTGTGGTCACTTGGTACACAAAGGCTATAGATAAACTTGAGTGAGTCCAGTGGTGGGCCTTTGAATGGCTGGGGGCTAGAGCATGACACCTGTGAGGAGAGCCTGGAAGAACTACGCTTGTTGGGCCTGGTGAAGTGAAGGCTTGGCAGGGGATGTAATATTGGCCTTCAAATACCAAAGAGATTACTGAAAGGATGGAGCCAGGCTTTTTGTTGAGATTTGGTAGGAGAAGGAGTGATCATAAATTGAAATAGTAGCTTCCAACTAGATAGGAGGAAAACAGTCACTGAGGATAATTGAGCTCTAGAGCAGGCTGCCTAGAGAAGTAGTATAATCTCTCCTTGGACCTTTTCAAGACCTGACTGCACAAAGCTCTAAGCAATCTGGTCTTGATTGAGCATAGCCTTTGTTCTGGAGGCTTGGCTAGATAAGATCCCTTCCAAACTGAATGTTTTGATGTTTCCAGTGAGGGAGAGTGCTGAGGTTGAATCACTGTGGTTTCAGTGAGAAGTACAGTTCTCTGCAAAATTTTACTGAAGCTTGTGGAGTTTGCCACTTATTCTGCTGTAGTTGTCTCTAATTATGGCAAGTTGCAGGTGTAGTGCTTTATTTAGGTCTTTATTCAGGGTTTAAAGCACTACATACATTATTTTTATGTAAGCAAGTGGTTTTTTTCTTTGGAGAAACTTGTCTCTTGGCTCAAGCAAACACTATCCTTATGAAAAGATCTGATCCAAGGTAATGCTTGGGATGCTAAACATGATTAGTCACTGCTCTGGCATTTCTTTCCTCTGCCTCTTCCAAAATGCTGAAGGACTAGTAAAATGGCTTGTCTGTGTGGACTGAGACCTGAACAATTTTGCTACACAGGATTTTTTGTGTATGTAGTAATTCCAGGTAGTGCAGTAAAGCACTAAGCACTATGTGAGCAGAGATATAAGAGCCTTTTCAGCAGTGTTGCTGCATGGGGTTCCCTCAGTCATTGTATGAACATAAACTATGATGCTGAATGTCAAAACTTGGATTGCTTCATATTGCTTTCTTCTGTGTAGCTGCCCATAAAATATCAGAAATGAAGGACTGTGACCCAGTGTAGCTTTCTGTAGGTGTTTTTAGTAATCCAGCATTAACTTCTACCAGTTCATGTCTATTCTTGAACTTATGCTATATTTAAAGACTAAACCACTTTGTTTTTTTCACTGGCTCTACTTCTACCAGTATGGATTCTACAGCCAATACCCATTACTGGGACACTAGGGGGCATTCTGGCAGCAACATCCTTGTATCCTTTATAGTGCATTCTAGAAAACTAAATTTTCATAGATCTTGCAAAGAAACTTAAGATGCCCCATATTGAGGCATTTTAAATTCTGCAGTTACTTGGATAGCTTCTGCTGCTTAAATTTATTAGTACACGACGAGAAATTTCTCCTCAAATGCATGGGGGCTGTTTATGTTCTGTGACTTGTGTTGTTGCTTATTTAATGAGTGCTTCAGTCTTCTGCCAACAGAAATAAGAGTAACTGTAGGATTCTGCTGTCTTCTGCCAACAGAAATAAGTAACTGGGATTCTGCTGTATCATTTAAATTGGAGTATTCAAAAGTGAAGAGGCAGTTGTCTCAGTAGGAGAAATTTGAGACAACTTCTGCATTACTAACTTAATGTGATAAATGTTAAAGGTCAGCTAGGCTTGGATTTGTGCGTTGGCATAAATTTTATATTCAGTTGTGAAGGCTGTTGTTATAAAGCAACTAACAGGCATAATCAAGATCTAAATATCATAAAAGCATATCACAAGTGAAGCTACTAGTATCCAGTTTGACTAACAGCTAGATGTGCAGAGAATTAGTAGATAAATAGGGAGCTCTTCCAGAGGAGGAGCTTGAAAGATCTTGGGTATCTGAAGACAGAATTAGGAACTTCTGTTATCTAACCAAAATTAATAGTTATTTTGATCAATGTATGATGATCAATACTAGAACTCAGTGTGTCTTATCCTGGAATCCTGTTACTAAACCATTGTGTTTAACTGTCGAATTCATGTGTTGAAATAGCTGCTGAAAGCACAGAAGAAGGCACAACGAAGAGAGAGTCTATTGAAGCTTGAAGCAGAGAAGAAAAAACTGCGTACAATACTTCAAGTCCAGTATGTGCTGCAGAACTTCACTCAAGAGCATGTTCAGAAAGATTTCAAAGGTGGTGTGAATGGTGCAATATACTTGCCTTCTAAAGAACTAGACTACCTCATAAGATTTGCGAAACTGACTTGTCCAGAAAGAAATGAGAACTTGAGGTAAGTTCAGGATTTTTATCTAATTGGTATGCTTCATTCATTACAATAAATGTCCTCTGTTTGACACTGCCATGTCTTGAAATATTATGTTTTGGGACACTAATTAAAATTCTGTTCAGCATACTTGCTTTAGTCTGAGACTAGGAATGTAGCAGATTTACCTCATTGAGTATTAAAGGAAAGCTGCAGTAATTACAGCCTCAGTTGTGAGTTACACACAAGCCCTGGCACCTTATGCCTCCCTGTGGGGTTGAGGGGAAGATAGTCCAATACCATTATAAGGAGGGAAGCTGGTGGTGTGTTGCTTCCCTGAGGTCTCGCTGTTCATGAAATGGAAAAAGCATGGTAAACACAGAACTGTTCCATATTCCATTCACATGATGCTCCAGATGTGCTTTATTTCAAAGGAATGGAAGGTGGTAGTCCTGAGGTGCTCTTGCTGTTACCTTCAAAGTAGTTTTTAAAAATTTGACTGATGTTTTCGATACCGCTGCACTAAATGTCATACATCTTAAGGTAACAGGTTGTCAACACACATAATGTATGTCAGTACTAACTTGGCATCATGTTTGTACTATGATGCTTATGTTTAGTATGACAGCCTGTCTGTTTTAAAGATAATGTAGTAAGAATTGTGTTTAAATATGGAAAATTTTGTTTAAGTATGGAAAAAGTAGTTGTTAGGTGGTAAGTTGAAGCACCATGGATGAGACTATTTCCATATTCAAACATGACAAGTTCCTAAAACTTGTAATCACTTGTCCTATGTTAACTTGCCTAATCTTTGCTCTGAAGTTAACATCTAAAGAACAGATGCTTATAAAAAGCCAAAGTCTCTCATCCCAGTGACATAACTTTATTTCTAGCTTGTAATTCTCATTGTGTTACACTTCCACAAGAAGCATAATACTTTCCTTCAGGACACTAAATTTCATCATGGTGCACCTCAAAATCCGTTTTCTGGAGGGGGTGGGGTGGATCATAGGCCTATGTCAAAATTTCTCAATAACTAGCAGAGTGGCAGGAGGTGTTGATGGTTGCCCCTGCACATGTGCATCCAATAAACAAGGTGATCAGCTGATTAAATAGTGATTGTTTCCCTGTCTAGGAATCCTGGCATGGGATGAAGTCCAGCCATATGGTCTCATGGAATAATGCTAGGCTCTCCAGTCTGTCTTAATTACCAACAAAGAACTTATATTTGCTAGACTAAATCATGTGCAAACAGATATAGATGAATCACTTTCAGTACTGGATAATGGGCTTAAGATTCACTCTATGCATTATCATAAACATTAGTCAGTGTCTTAAGGGGTACTGGAATACTACAGGATTTGATCTTGGCTATGATTCTACCTGGTAAAACTCACTTGTTTTAGTGTTGAAGACCAGATGGAACAATCATCTCTTTACTTCTGGGACCTTCTAGAAGGAAGTGAGAAACCTGTGGTTGGAACAACATGTGAGTGTCTCATCTAGAGAAATAACTTAGAGATCTGAAACTTGTGTGCCACTTATATATTAATGTGTGTTAAGATATTTATGGGAAATTATTAAATTAAGCACTTTCAAGTGCTGTGACTCGGTTATCCAAGGATGAACTGCTGTTTGTTTGAAGTTCTGTTTAAGTGCAGATCAATAATGATACAGTAAGTCTTTGCCTGGAAAAAGGAAGCATGTTCTACCAATGTACTAGCACCTTTTTGGAGTGTAATGATGGTAGTAATTTGAAATCTAATGCATGAATGCATTACAAAACTAGCAGTGGGAAGCTTTTTGGATAGTTATGTGCAAATGGGTTAAGATGTGAACACTGTTCCCAGGCATAAATGCTTAGTTGAGTATACCGATACATATTACAAAGCTTCAGTGGCCCCAGGCTGAAGGTCTCACAGATTGAAGATTCTCTCTTGTGGGAATTCTAGGCTCATACCCATTGTCTGACTATGATGCAGGATACAACACTGAGGAAGGATAGTCATTAGTGGAAGTTGCTGTGATATCTAATAATGCACAGTGCAGTCTTGATTTGACCTGTTGCAAATGTCCTCATTTTTCAAGCACACCAAAATATGTAGAATCCCACATTTTCTTTCATCTGTGGCTTTTAGTTTCAGAAGCCTTGATTGTAAGATGACATGCGTTCTATGTTCCTGTTTAGAACTTGTTTGTGAAGAAACTATCCTTACTTGAGTTGTACTTGAGTCTTTCCTATTGCAAACAGACCTTGCTTATCCCATTTATTCCGGTCTTGTAACGGCTGTGTGGTAGTAATCTTTCATTTGTCATTGACAATAATGTTGTTGAAACTGTTAGATGAGAGCACTAATGTACCCTATCTAATTTCCACATACAGATAGTTGAACGGACAACTAAGTTGTAGAAGTCCATATAGTTCTGGACAAAGTGCAAGCTGGCCTTGTAGAGCTACAAGCTGGTAACTTTAGCTTTGTATCTGTTGACATGAACTGATAGTTGCCTGGTTATCTTGGACTCCAAATTCTTGCAGCTTTTTGGCTACCATCTAAACAACTTGTGACTCCTGTTAGTATCTCTGCACCTTTAGTGTCAGTCTTCCATCATTTTGTGTGCAAGCTAAACTTCAGATAAAGCTTTTATGACTTCTGTTAGCATTCATTGTCTTGGAAGGCAATTTTTATATCCGTATTAAATTCTAGTTACTATTCTTGTTTGTCACTCGTAGGAGTGATCTTTCACTGAATATTCTTCCTGTTCTCAAGGCTGCCCTGTCTCTGGCTCCTCTGAGACAATTTCTAGTATCACTGCTACTTCTGAGGTCTTAACTCTCTAAACTGCTGTCCCTTTTTCAGATAAAGAAGGAAACGGGATGATGCTCATTGGAAAGAGTACACAGTTATGTTTCTTCAACTGTCAACTCTGACTTTGCTCTAAAACTTTAGAGGATTAAGTTGTCTGGAACAATCTCTTGCTTTCTTCCCCAACTTGTTTTTGCTGTTTTCCTCTGAGACTTACCATCCTACCACGGGGAAGAGGGTCTTGTAGGGAAGTTTCATAGTGACTTTGTTTAGCTTTACCTATGTTACAGTCTGCAGAATGTGCTTTTAGTATCAATGCTGACTAGTTTATAATGGTAAACAAATCCTTTCTAAGCATGTGAGACCAGTGGCTCAGTGTTTAGCTGCAGTCTTACCTCTGGATTGCAAAGATGCTTGCATCTGTAATATACAAAGCAGTTTTAACTAATACTTTCCTTTACTAAAATGTTTTATTGCTCTCAGTAAGATGTATGAACTTGGAGAAGCTGCAATTTATATAAAGGGAGGAAGTAAGGAGTCTTGAACTGTAGTCTGAATATCCTTTAAATTCAAATTTTCATATCTTAACTTCATGGATTTTTACTCTTCAGATAAACACATGAAGGACCTGTTATCCAAACTTCTAGACTCTGGCTACTTTGAAAGTATTCCGACTCCTCGCACCACTGTGCCAGTAAAAGAATTGGAAGAAGCAAATAGAAAACCTGAGAGAACAAGACAGATGTCAAAAGGAGAGTCTGTCAAAGAACCAGGTGGAATATTACAGGGTTCACTTTCTGTAGCATGATGTTGGGATAAGCTTGAACTGAGCATTGACTTTGCATAGCTTGATGCTAAATCTAATCCTGTGCTATAGTTTGCTTGTAATGTAGTAACTAAAATGGAACCTGCAAGGCTTGCAGCCCTATTCTGGCTAATGTTGTAGAAAAAAATCTAATTCATAGTAATAGGATGTTTTTGCCTTCTGAGCAAGGCTCCATGTTGAAGATGTGAGAATTGTCTTGTGTTGGGAATGTTACATATTACAATAACCAAATTATGGGTACTACAAAATGTTTCTTGCTTAACTCTAAATGTCTTCAAATGTAGAACCAAATCAGAAAATAAAAGCCTGTCTAAAAATAGCATGTTGAAGGACAAGCTGAGCTTTCAGAATATCTGGTTTAGCAATTGGCACTACTATTTAAATAGAATTAAAGACTTGCTACTGTTTGATCTGCCTTTCTGTATTTGATCAGCTGAAACAAATTAACATCCTTTCTCTAGAATCCCTTATGGAGCTTATGAAGTCTGAAATACAGCCACAGGAGGTAAGATACTCCACTGCTAATTGCTTTCCTTTAGTATTGTGATTATCAGAAACATAACTGCACTTCTGCAGCCCTTTTTTAAACTTAAAAAGGGAGTCTGAACAGCAACTCTGGTGTTGCGTTATGTAGGAAGCATTAAAGACTTGCATTTCTATTTCCAACCACAAACTCTTATGGCTTCCCTGGAGTATTTTGGAATAAATGGGGTAGGATTAGATGGAGCAGTATAGTACTTTAATGCTCTGGCACTTTCCTGAATAAACCAAAGTGTCAGCCTTCAGAGTGGAAACACTGATCTTCTGTGTACTACAGGATAGAGAATATACACATCTAAAAGCAAAGCATGTTGCAGTAGACTTGATATCGATGGGGTTGAGAATGATGTAGGTCTTGCTATGATTTGTCAGAAAAGTAGGGATCCCAAGACAGACTTGTGTGCACAGGGGTTTGTAGACCTGTTTCAACAGCTCTTCAGACTCCTGAGCTAAGTACTCAAGCTTCAACTGGCACCAGTATAAAAACCATTAGGCTTTTGTTCAAAAGGTGGGGAAGGGTGTCCTTTTGTAAGTGGAAATATGGGTTCTTAAATTGCTGAATCCCTGTTTCCCAGGTATCCCACTAGAGGGTGTACTCTAGAACAAGCTTTCGTAACCTACTGGTGACACTGTTACCTGACTAAAACTTTTCTGGTGACTTGTCAGAAAAAAATCTTAGCCAGTGAGCCTTGTACATTCTTTGCTTCATATATTTACTTCCGTTTTATGACAAAGTAGTAACTCAGGAAAACATTAGGACATCTTAATTGAACTCAGACTTAGTGACAGTAAACACAGCCTGGAGTTGTAGAAGTCTAGTGATACTAAATCTGAGAATCTGGTGACTTACTAGTATTTAAACTCCATTAAGAATAGCAGTTAGACCTAGTTATTGGAGTTCTAAAGCATCAAAGATTTTGGGGGAGATGGTGCTGCTACACTTAGCAGAATGTCTACTAATACAATACCGCAGCATTTTAGATGTTTAGGGAGGAGAGCTATCTTTATAAAAATCACAACTGAACTTGACATTGTCACTACCTAGGGATATCAGTTAGCATTTGAGGGTAAGGGTGAAAGATTAGCTCAGCTGAAGTATGCTTCACTTGTGCTGTTCTGGACTGTTTCATGGTTCTCTGTGGCATGCCAAACAAAGCTAGTCTGTAGTGTTGTAGGATAAAGCCAAGGCTGTCCACATAGTTTTCATGGCTAGTGCATAAACTGTCTAGGCTCTGCTTTTAGCCAGAAATTTTCAGTAGCTGGGTGACCTAACTTAACTGACCTGAACTGTAGTAGCAAAATGTTTTCTTGGGAGCCATTAAGTTTCTTTGGTCTATATAGTTTCTCAACAGGCGTTATTTGCCTGAAGCAGAATACTCTGTCAAGAAGAAGCCAGAAGAGCCCAAATCTTGGGAAGCTGAGAGTGCTAGAAAGCAAGAACCTCCAAAGTCCTGGGAAATGCTTGTTGATATTGAAGAGCAGAAACAAGAGACCTTAAAGCCTTGGGAAGCTCGTGTTAGGCAGCAAGAACCAAAAAGACCAGATTCTCCAAAGCCTTGGGAAGCTCGTGTTAAAGAGGAGGAACAGAAGCGTGAGTCTACAAAGCCCTGGGAGACCCGTGTTGAGGAGGAAGAACAGAAGAAGCAAGAAGCTCCAAAGGCCTGGGTAGCACGTGTCCGAGAGGAGCAGGAGACCCCCAAACCTTGGGTAGCAAAGGTTAGGGAAGAGCAGGACCAGAAGAAACAGGAATCGCCGAAGCCATGGGTAGCTAAGGTTAGAGAAGAGCAGGAACAGAAAAAGCAGGAGTCCCCAAAAACTTGGGTAACCAAAGTTAAGGAAGAACCAGAACAAAAGCAGGAATCTCCAAAACCTTGGGTAACCCAAACTAGGGAGCAACCAGAACAAAAGAAGCCAGAGCCTGTGAAATCATGGGGAATGCCTGTTAGGGAAGAGCCAGAGCAAAAGAAGCAGGAGCCTGTGAAGGCTTGGGCTGCACATGTTAGGGAGGAGCCAGAACAAAAGAAGCAGGAGACTCGAGAGGCTTGGGAAAAAGCTGACAGGCAGCAGCAAGTGCCATCACAGCAGTTACAGAACCCTCCGAAGTCCTGGGGAGCTGCAAGTGTTGGGCCAAAGAAGTTTGATATGGAACCCAAAGAAGTGAGTTGGCATATGTAGTATTACCTGTCATAAGCTTTTCACACTAGTATATTGGACTAAAGCTACCTATTAGCAGAGGCTTTATAAGGTGCATTTTGTAGGCCTATATTTAGACTCCTATTTCATTCTTTTTTGGGGGAAGTAATTCTGGCAATTAAACCTTATTTATGAGTAGCAAGATGGTCTGCTTTGCTTTTTACATCAACACAGTATTGCTGTGTTTGAGCCTTGAATAACTGCTTTATGCATAAGACAGAAGAATTAACCGAGTCCAGACCCAGCTATTGGCTCTGTCCACTGTTATCAGTACAAAGCAGGTATGACTCATACAGGGATCAAATACTTTGTCTGTGGCTGCATGCAAATAGCACTTCAGTAATTTTTTAGGCTTTTGATTAAAATAGCTGCTGATTCAAGAGAGATCTAATGTCTAGATCAAGCAATACCAACTGTACAGGGGCTTAAATATGTAATTCCAGATGAATGCATAAGCCATACTGCTGTCCTGGAGAGTCTAACAATAGTATAGTTTGTTTTAGAAATGTAAAATGAAAGTTACTGCAGGGCTTACAGCTGAGCAGGCTGCTAGCCTGCCTTCTTTCTCACCTGTGCTTGGGTAGTAACAATTCTGATACTGTGAAAATAGGTAGGCAAAGCAGAGTTCAGTCATGTCATTAAGAGCAGTGTTTAATTTGGAGTTAGACTTCAGGAAGAAAATCAGAGGAATTGAACAATTCTGTTGTACACAACGTTTTTTAGCACTACTACCTTGTTTCTGCAAGAAAATTCATTCCATGTTACTCACAGCAAATGATTAAGCTTAAACTTTGTCAGTAAACTTGGCATAACTGAAAAATGGATGTTTTTGTGCCTAGAGGCGGGAGCGCAAACAGAAGGTTGAACACGAAATTAAAAGAGTAGGTAACACACAGCACTGGGTAACAATGGGATCAAGGTGTTTCAGCTTGCTTCATCTTTGCACTCAAGCTGAGTAGAATCTTGTGTCCACTGGTGGTGGTACAGGTACAAAACCCGGTTGCCTCACACTAAGTATCTCTGAGCACAAGTAGGTGTTGTGCACCCAACTATGCATAGTGTTACTGTAACTATCATATACTGAAATAGTCTCAAGCACTTTAAGATGCCTTGGAATTTCTGGTGTCAGATTAATTTAAAGCTTAAATGCAAGATGCTTTCTAATTAGATGGGGCTCTTATTTTTGTATAGGATGGGAAGATGGATGGCTTAAGTGGTAGACAAAACTTTGCAGTAAGGAGGGTCTTCAGTCAGTTGGAGAGACTTGCAAACTGCCTAGAGGTCTTCATAGTAATATGTGGGTGTGCAAGTCAATCAAATTAAACTAAATTGAATGTTGGAATGTAAGGTTGCTTAAGATGGATTACTGAATTAAGTAAACAAAGCATATTTTTAAAGTATTCAAACTTTGATTTGCATAGTAAACCGTAGTGAAACACCAGCTGGCTATATTTTTGCTTAGTAGCTATTGACAAATCCCAATATCAACAGAATATTCAAGGAGTAAAAAATAGTCTTCTGAACCTAGCTAGCTTCCATAACCACTTATTAAAAAATTTCTTACTTGGTTTGAGGTATGTATAAAGGACAACTAAAATCATATTTTAAATTTTTTAGGTAATGAAACTTCTTGCCTTTGCTTATATGAAAAAAGTGGCAATGCAATGCTGTAGCTGGATCCATTTTGCTCCCAGAGAGAACCTATAAATGACCTTGTGCAGGGATCTAGGCATGGTAGATGAAAGGCTTATGTTGCTGCTGCTGCTTTCTGGAGCTGAAATTAACCTTTCTTTACTCCCTGAAATAACTGTTAGAGCTCCAAGACATCTTTTAATAACCTGCTAGGTCTTGATCTTAAAATATGCTTATTTCACTTAATGTACTGTAAGGTGCAATACCTAAGAAGTTGAGCCTAAGGCAGCAGAGTGAGCTGATGTGCAGGGCTCTTAAACTGTTACTCTATTTAAATGTTTGTGCAACCTGTGGACCAGCAAACTTGGTTAGAGCTGAATTTGTGGCTTGCTTTGTGAAAGTGAAACAGTTTGGCTCTTGCTGTCATGTAGTGCCCTTTAATTCATACCTGCTGTGAATGCTGCTCTGAGTAGAAAGCTAATGTTAATTGTGTATCTATATTACACAGTTGGTGCTCACTGTTGTGCTTACAGCTTAGATATCACCATTCCAGCTCATTTAGCACTCCACAGCTAACAAACATAAGAGGAATTGAGGTCATGTATCATAGGATGGGGTTTTGCTAGTATATAAAGCGGTTGAAATGTATTTTAGAGTAGTGTGTTATGTATAAGTAGACCTTCAGTCTCTTAAAAAAAAAAAAAATAAAATAAAGCTTTACTGTGAATACCTAGTATATTGGCACTTCAACTAGTAAAATTCCAAAGTGGTCAGTGTGCCTTTACATTGGTTTATTTGCAATGGTTTAAGAGGTCCTAAAACAAGTTCTAGGCTTTTCAACTCCATTTTTAGTCAGTTCTCTGGATATAGTCAAACCTGTTTTTCTGAATGTGTGAGTAGTGTTGAAGTTAGGTTTCAGAAACATTGTTATGACAAAATAGACCCTAAACTTATCAGTGCTATGTAAAACTAACCTGAATGTTGCTTGAACCACTAGTGTTAAGTGTTCTCAGCATGTGTAAGTTTGTGACCTGGCCTAACAGGTGCCTAAATTCAAAGTCTGCTACCAGCTTGTAATGAATTCCAGAAACAGTATCTAACTGTAGGCTAGAAAGAAAATGTGGTTTAAAACCATGTTAAGGATGTCTAGTACCTGCTTTTTTCAAAGCATCTCTTTTCAAAGGCATAAAACATGACATTAACTTTTTAATGGGGTTTTTTGTATGCTCTGTATTGCACTTGAATATTCTAGTTTTGAACACCTAAGTACCAGCAAAACAGCAAATCAGTATGAGGTAACTTCACTATAGCTACTTCTGGCTGGTGTATTTTCATATATGCAGGAACTAGAAAATAACTTCTACAGAAAGAGTCTCAATGTTTCGATCCTGGCTTAAAGCCCTAATATATATGTAAGCCTGTATGCTTGCTCTTCTAGTTGAAGTAAAGAATGCTACCAGCGTAATGCACAGACTATGAGCTGGGGAAGGAGATGAAGACTAACAAATTGTAAAAGCATACAAAAGATTGTATCATCTATGAAAGCACAAGTGAAACACTGCAGTCTCCTCTGCTTCCGTGCTCATGAGGCTGTTTTCACTTGTTTGTGTTTAGTGTACAAGTCTAACTTATGTAGCTAGTGGCCAATCTTAAGTCTGGCAATGTCTGAAGCTATTAACCTGGTTAGATGACTTAAAGGTAAAAAGCTTCTGTTATCCATTTGCAAACATATAGAACCAGTTTAGGTAGTGTACTTGTGTCTTAGTAAATGCAGTGAGGAGGAAGAAGGTAATAAAAGCATTATTCAGTTTGATCTATAACGGACCATGACACCATGGCAGCAAGTGTTTTAAGACTAAGTGAGGGCTAATGAAGTGATGGACAGGAAGATTCAGATTCGTAGTAAACTTAAAACTTGCTGAGATTTAACTTTCTTCAACTGTATCTTTTGTCCTGCACTTAGATCTTTAAGAGCTTTACTTCCTGTTCATTTTTGAAAATTATACAGCAATATAAACTTGCATAGTCAGTAGTTAAAGGTAGTGCTTGTGCATCAGAAATTCTAATTAAGATGGAATAGTACAAAGATGCACTCTTCTAGCTCTACAAGAAAGTAAAACTTCTCACAGCTCAACAAGTAGCTATTATGTGGGGGACATAGATAATAGAAATGGAGTCCTCCAGAGTTAATGGTGTGCTGCATGTACATGGATTATGCTTTGTGAAGCTTTCTAAACCCTGCAAGCTTCTTCCCTATGCATGCCATTGGAATTTCTGCAAATGCTAGTGATTATTTGTGGGTAACTGTTGAAGAAATGCAAGAGTATGTTTTGGGCTTGTCCTAAAACTGTACAAAGAGCACTTCATAAACTTGTTTTGAATTTAGGGTGACAATTAAATGTCATGACGCATATGCCCTTCTGCTATATGGTCTTCTAATGACTTAATATAAATACTCAATTACATTGCTATACAGTCTACTGAAGTAGTAACCTCTTATTAGAAAGACAAATTTTTGTACTGTAGGAAAGTGAAGACTTTCACTTGTTTCTGTGTGTCTCAACAGTTGGGCCAGTTGAAATAACGCAACTGCTTAATGTCTTCAGATTTGCCTCCCTCTAGCTGCATAGACAAATGAGAGCAGCAAAGCTTTAGAGAATCACTAAAAATTATGGTATTAAAATAATTATAACAAGCCTACCTCTTCTGCAAGCTGCTTTCAAAAGACATGTTAGACTAGACAGTCTAATATTGCCACTCCATAAATAACAGGCCTTCTGCTATTTAAAGAGTTTACTATCATGATTTCTCTGATACCTTAGACTTGCCTATTCTCTGATAAAACATTTTCCTCTTAAGTGAGAACCAGTTCAGATGAACTGTTAAGGGACTGTCTGAAACAATCAAGGAGCAATAAGGCCCTGCAGAAGTGCTCATTTAGTTACAAAGTTAGGCTCCCATGTGGGAGCACAGGTGTATTTTTCATGCCAAACTTGAAAAGTTTAATGTAATACTCTCAATGCACCAGCTCCTGTGGAATCTGGCTTGTTAGTGGAAGCACTTTGGTCTAATCCTGAGTAACCTGCTTGCAATGTATCTCTTGGGTGCAGTTTCTTCCGAATGCCTGGAAATGCCATCCTAATAAAAGATTTGTACTTACTGGCATTGGCTCTACTAGCAGGAAGGATGTTTTAAACCTTGAGTGTTGCAGCTTTGATTTTTAAGTTTGTTCTGACCTTCAACTTAAGTATGTGGGTTTCATTAGATGAAGGTGCCTAATGTTGCACCAAATGCAGGCAATTTATTGTCTTCTGTACATTTGACTGTAAAACTGAATGAATTTAACTATGTGGCTTAACTAGCTGTGGCAACAGTAAGCTGATTTTTTTTTTTAACAAAGTGAAAGCTTGATTCAGGAAGTATCAATAACAGCACAGAATTCCTTGGCCCATGGTGTCTGACATGCATAGGTTGCTCTGGAAGTATATTGGATAAAGCAGCTTGTCTTGCTTCCAGTACTGGATTTAATCTCTTTTCTCCTTATTAGGTGCCTAAATCTGTACATCAGCCAGCTGCAGAATTTTGCTCTACTTCAACTCTTCCAAAAGATCCAGTATTGAGAAGGGAAAAACTTCAGGATCTGATGACTCAGATACAAGGGACTTACAACTTCATGCAGGTATGTTTTTCTCTGCTGTTGTAGCACAAAGCTCCAGTTCCTACTGGGTTGGGGAAAACAGTGCTGATAATGTGCTTGCAATGAATGAATGAATCTAGCTCCAATTAGTTAACAGCAACTTGTCAGTTGACAATGTTTCATTTGTATCTAGAGTTTAATTTTTTCTTCCAATTGGTGATCTTTTTTTCAAAAGGAGTCCATTCTGGATTTTGATAAAGCTTCACCAAGTGCCATTGGTTCATCCCAACCACCTTCAGTTACTCCAGCAAGTAGTCCTGTAGGTAGGTAATGCTGTAAGTGTAAATTGTATGGAAAATTTTGCAAACACTAACAAGGTTTGCTTGGGCTGTAGATCAGTAGGCCTGGTGAAGACAGCTTGTCTAATTCTAAAGAATACCAGTGTCTGATTTTAAAAAAAAAAAAGGCAGCTCAAGCCCCTTGCCTGCTTATTTGTTGCTGGAGGTGACTATAAGCTCGTATGTCTGCCTGGAAATGAAATGCTTGTGTAATCACTGACTGACATGTGCACCTGAACCTAGATGTAGAATTGACATGCTCTATCTGTGTAACGAACTTGTCTAGATAAATAGACACAACTGTGAATGACCTCAGGATAAAGAGCACTTATCTAGCTGCACTTAGAAAACTGGAACTTTCTACAGTGGGCCATGTTAAGAAACTGTTCGAGTGGCTCTTGAGCTGTAAAGCACAATTACCTAGTTTATTAAATACCTACTTTCCAGATAAAGCACTTAAGTATCTCTACTGTAGTAGAAATAATGTTGTTATTGAATACCTGTCCTCTTTTACAAAAAACCTGAAGCTTTCAATTGGGTATAGTTTACTGATGCCAAGTCTGTATTTGCAGTGTGCGCACTAAAAATAGTGTGCAGCCTCATTTACCAAATATTTTCAAAAAGTAGAACTGCGCACTGAAACTGTATGTAGTATTTGAATTTAAAAGAAAATGTTGCTTAACACAGTCTTTTTTTACAGCTTCAAAAGAACAGAAGCTGCCAAGTCAGAGTGATTTTCTTCAACAGCCCCTTCAAGTAAGTTGAAATTAGGACTGCCTTGAAGAAGCAGAGTTGTAGCCAAGGAATGATAGAGAGGTTATTCACTAGAATAGACTTAGTACTTTATCGTCTTTCTTGTTGCCAGTAGTTTTGTAATAAATTTCATATAGCTTAGTAGCTTGCACTCAAATGCTGACAAAGTTGGCTGCTCTTCCTCTTGAATAACAGCAACAAATGCGTGAAGCTTCTTGAAGTAAAACAGTATGTTGAAGACATGCTGAAGTAGTTTGAATATTTAACCCATAGATTCAAGTCATAGCTAGTGTTTGTGTGCAGGAGAACATGCTGCTTCTTTCCTAGATAGTACATGTCTTCATCTTTGACATCCTCACTTATGCCAAAGGTAGTGTCTCAAGGTTTGACAGCTGTGGTTAAGTGAACCTTAAATTTACTTATGGTGCTTGCAGGTCTTGCTACTTTGGCTTTTAATAGGTTTCCTTGCCACTAACAAGAATTCCTAAGAAACTTTGACTAACTGGTCAAAGCACTTCAGCTCCTGCCTCATTCTGAGGTTTATTTGGAAATGCCCAGAGTGTGAGTTTCAGTGAAACTGAACATCTAAGATAATATTTCAAAACCTTATCTCATTTTTGTCTCCTTGCAAGGCTGCTGCTTCATCCATGACACTGCATGGTTCAAATACTTCCCTAGCATCTGCTGATCAGACTCTTTCTGGCTCTGAAACTGAAGACTTGGTGACACCACAGACACCACAGGTAATATACCCTGGGGTTCACTGGCATTCAAAGATCTGTGCAATAGCTAGCCCTAACAGGAAGCTGTGGTGGGGCCTCCTCAATAACTATACCTGAACAACATACAGGGACAGAATACAAATAATGGCAACAGTATAGCTTACATTCTGGAGTACTTAAAGATGGTTGGAAAAGCCTTCCTAATCATAGAATGGTTGAGGTTGGAAAGGACCTTGAAGATTATAAAGTTCCAAGCCCCCTGCCATATGCAGGGACACCTCCCACTAGACCAGGTTGCCCAAGGCCACATCCAGCCTGGCCTTGAACCCCTCCAGGAATGGGGCCTCAACAACCTCTCTGGGCAACCTGTACCAGTGCCTTACCACCCTCAAAGTGAAAAACTTCTTCCTAATGTTTAATCTAAACCTGCCCTCTTCCAGTTTAAGGCCATTCCCCCTCATCCTTTCACTACATGCCCTAGTAAAAAGTCTTTCCCCAGCTCTCCTGTAGGCCCCCTTTAGGTACTGGAAGGCCACAATGAGATCTCCACGAAGCCTCCTCTTCTCCAGGCTGAACAGCCCCAACTCTTTCAGCCTCTCCTCATAGGAGAGGTGCTCCAGCCCTCAGATCATCCTCATGGCTCTCCTGGATGTGCTTCAGCAGGTCCATGTCCTTATGTTGGGGCCTCCAGAGCTGGATGCAGTACTCCAGGTGGGGGGTCACGAGAGTGGAGCAGAGGGGCAGAATCACCTCCTTTGACCTGCTGGCCACAGTTCTTTTGATGCAGCCCAGGATGCGGTTGGCCTTCTGGGGCGTGATCGCACATTGCTGGCTCATGTTGAGCTTCTGGTCAATCAGCATGTCCTGGTCCTTCTCCTCAGGGCTGCTCTCCAGCCATTCTCCACTGAGCCTGTATTTGTGCTTGGGATTGCCCTGTCCCAGATGTAGGACCTTGCATTTGGCCTTGTTGAACTTCATGAGGTTGGCTTGGGCCCACCTCTCCAGCCTGTTCAGGTCCCTTTGGGTGGCATCCCTCCCCTCCAATGTGCCTACCTCACCAAACAGCTTGGTATCATCATGAAGTGAACAGTCTGCCCCTTCAAATGGGAAGGCTGTGGGATGAAAAATGCATACTAAGTGTGGTGCGTATTCTTGTGGGAGCATATGAACAGCATAAATATTTGCTTTGGTTACAGTGTAAAATACTTCCTCTAATGACAAGAGATGCATAAATTGGGATGGATATTGTCATCATAAAATAGCAGACTTCTGTGTAAGCTAAAAACTGGGAAGTATTCTCTAAAGCACTAACTGAAGAAGTACCAGAAATCTGACTTCTGATGTTCAGCCAAGACCTCAAACTTTCCTTTCTTAACTGTATTTATGTGCAGTTAAACCTTCAACTAGCATTCAAATATTGTTTAGAGCTGAAAGTAGTGTTTCAATTAATGCAGATCCCTGTCTTAAAGATCTCTTGCTAAGTGTTGCTGTGTTCAGAAATACAGCGGGGTCTTTCCTGTTGGACTCTAATACAGTGTTGGTAGATTATAATGGGGAAATGTTCATTCTTTAAATGTTTTGCTGATGTACATGCTATCAGTATACTGTGCATGTAGCATTTACCTTATTCCTTAATATACTATGTAGTTGAATATGACAGTCTTGACAGGGATATTAGTCTTTCTACTGTTTTGAGTCAGCAGTTTTGGCCTGGTTCTTGACAGCTTCTCTCACTCCTACAGTGTCATAAGACTACTTGTGCTGCAAGGATTAAATTTTGCTGTTTAATAAGTACCTAGAAATCTTGTGCTGTGCTATAATGTAGAACATATGATTTAGTAGAATGTTCTGAGTTTTTTTTGTAAGTTTACTGTTTGGAATTTGGGTTGCTTGTGGCCAGCACATCTAGTTCCTTAGGCATAAAGTGTGGTGTCTTTTCCAGTCCTGCTTCTCATGGAAAGCAGTAGATAAGCTTTGTTTGGTCCCAGCACAACCAGGGAACACACTCAATGGTGACAGTGCACTCTCCTGGTCTGCAAGTGCAGTTCTGTCTGATGCACCTGTGATGGTATACATGGTGAGAATAGGACTGCTAGTCATTAGTCCTAGGCTGTGTATCTAAGTATAAGCAACTCTTAGCTTACACTTGTAATGCTAAATTTAACTGTCGTGCACACAGGTTTTGCAAAAGCAAACCAAACTTTGGCTTTGAAACCTTGTTTGATGGAGCTTACCAGGAGTTTAACATCAGACTTGTCTTTCAATGTGTGTCACAGACTTCATTGTAAATAACTGCTTGAAGCAATCTACAGTTCTTAAAATTATCTGACTTTGCAGGGCTAGTCGTACAATGTCTTGTGTAAGAAGGGTAATTAGGTCTGAATCTCTAAAGCTAATTACTTGAAGCTTTTGGTTAAGATGATTATTTAGTACATTTACTTTGGACTTAATATTTGTTGTGGTCTTTAAAAATCCACTTGTTTCAACTTACACACTGGTATTTCATAGCTCTGCTAGAACTCTGTGCTTTCTGCAATACTTCTTGTAATAGCAGGTGCGTGTATGTCTCCTAGGCATCAGCATCACTTTCTCAAGAGACTGAGAAATATACTTCCCAGCCACTGTATCAGACAAGCTCACATATTTCTGAGCCACTGATACCGAAAAAGATTGAAATTGCCCAGGTGAGCTATCACAAATACAGGTAAGGTAAATATATTTGTAGCTGGAAAGGTGTCTAGAGCCTTACATCCCTTTTGATTCAGAACACCAATATTTATAGGATTCAGAAGTCAATACTTCGTTTTGCCATCTGCACAAATGGGACTTAATGCTGGTTAATACTTTGTCTGGACAACTCAGCATTGTTTCTAATCTGAAACATAATTAAGTTGGGAGGGAAAAAATCAACCCCCCTAAACTTCCTGAGTTCCTTTGGACAAGAAAAGTCACTTTTAATATCAGCCATAGAATCATCTTCCAATAAATGGAACAGAAGGTGTTCTGTGTTTCCTTAGTGGTGGGGAAAAAATACCTAATGTCTCTTTATTGTGAAATTATTGCAATGAGTGGTATGTATAGTAGCTCATAGGCACATTTCACTTAATCAGCAGAGACTGCAATAGAAGTACTGTTTGCTGAGAATGCACAGCAAGATTTGAAATTGTAAGCAAAAGCTATTTTGTAGCTCTACTATGTCCAAATGTCATCCTGTAGAAACTGCTGACTTCTGTCAGTCTAGGCTTTAGAACAAATTAACTGCTTCTGTTACTGCCTGATAACTATCAAGTGACCTTTCATTACATTTGTTCTTCCCTCAGGCAACTGTTCCCCTCCCAAGTGAGCCACAGTCACCATTGCCTACTTCAAGCACCTCCATGTCACCAGTACCACCAGCGCAGAGCTTTCAGTCTCCTCCAGCAAGTAGCAGTTCTGTCACAATAACAGCAGCTCCTTTTCAGGCTATGCAGACTGTAAGTATGCAACTTGAGGCCACAGAAGAATAATTGACAATAACGCTAATAACTTAGTCCTAATACTGAGGAACTGGCTCCTCTTGATATAGTACCGAACTTGATAGATCACTTTGTTTTAATGTTAAAAACCTAGATTAGAACTCTGCTTCTCCAATGTCTTCAGAACTTAAACCAGATCATCTAAGAGTAGACATCCTGGTTTTGCTCTGCATAGTCCCAGAATCTAATACTGGGATATCTTAGTAGCCTCAAGGAACTAAGCCAGAGAAGTCAGACCTGAAATGAACAGATTTATAGCTGTGTCCCAAGGTAGTTGACTCTACTTAAGTAAACTGTTCTTATGTGTAGACGTCAAATAATAAAGACTCCAGAGGAGAGAGGGAATCCTGAAATATAGTTGTTAGGAGTAAAAGCTTTCTGAAGCTTGAACCAGTCTTGCTGCTTTTTAAACTGCTTTAGTGGAGTAAAACTTAGTCCACTGGAATCATGGAAAATGTCCTTGATTAAAAACTGGTGTAGCTCATTATCCTATCTTGTTAACATGCAGTTGATATAGATGTCTAGGGAATAGTCAACACAGACTGAGTGGTGTTTCTTGCAAATAGATGCTACTTTTTCAGGCCACACATAATCTATGTTAGAGAACTAATGTTCTCTAACATTACTAACAATGCTACTGTCTAGTAATCTGCATTGCAAGCTTACAGGGACTTAGAGGAAGGACCTCTGTTTAGTTGTTAACGTTTCCTTCGCTGTACTTGGGCTTATCTATTCCTCTGATACCTTCTTCAGAAGATGCTAGAAGCCTTCATTTAACATTCTTGCTCAAAAGCAAGCTTAGAGATCACTGAGATTCTCCAAAGGTATTCTCCATTTTCACAAATGTACCAATGCAGTTCCACAACTTGCTGGACAATCTGCATATTGTGGTATTGATACATATGTAGTATGATTTGCTGGAAGGAGGTAGCTAATAGTTTCTCAAAGAATAGGAATTAGTGACTAAAACATCTATGATATCCTGGTGTGGTCTATAGTAAATAACTACCATGACTTTTTCTACTTGGTTTTTCTGTATTTGTAGAAGAGGTTCAAGCAGAACTTTCCTCAGAGGTACAGAATTTTGTTATAATATAACATTATAAACAAGGCAAGTGGTGGTAGGGAGTTGGTTCTTTTTAAGCCAGATCTATTAAATTATGCTAAGTGGCTAGGTGGTGATTTTTCATGGAAGTGGAGAAATAGTAGCCTGCTATGATCAAGGAATCCAGAGTCTTTCTGGGGACCCAGTCTTTAAGAGAAGCAATCTGTCGTGGTATAAATGCAGAGTCTTGGTCTCAGTCATTCTGATTGTATCTGAACCTAGTGTCTGTGTTCAGGGTACTTTTGATCAAAATGGTATCACTGAAAGTTCATTTGAACTAACGCTGTGGTGTTTTCAGAGATGTTAAATGTTCAAGATTTCTCTTGGGATTTTGGGGTCAAACTAGCAAACTTCTGTAACTAAATTGCTAGGATCTTAATTCCTCTTGTAGCAGTGGCAGTCTTTAACTTGGCGGTGCAGGTTTTTCTTCCCTACATAAATTCTCATTGCAGCCAGGAAAGCAGCCATTAGATTTCAGTAGATAGCTGGTAGTCAGATGGTGTCTTGCCAAACAGTGACAGTACAGCGACAGTAATGGACGCCTCTGATTACGTGTTCTCAGAGATGTCTGAACACCCTGTTGCTGCCTTTGTGTGTATGGAAACTTAGGCTACAGGTAGGATCTGCCTTTAAGTACTTTTATTAGAATTCCACCTGTAACACTCACTGGTTGGAAAAAGTAGACCGCTTGTTACAAATAGTGCACATTGTGGTTGTTGGCAGCCTGACTGCACAGCATCTTCAAATTTCTTTCAGAAAGAGGGTTGCTTTGCATCACTTCAATCACTTCATCTGGTAAATCAGAACCAGAATTTGTATTTTATAATGGTTCAGGCTTTACGCTCAATACTTCAGTATCATGAGGGGTTTCTGTGCTGGGTCCCTGTTAGAGGAAATACTTGGCTTTTTAACCCTGGAAAAAGTGTTCATTTCCCACTAATTATAGAGGCTTCTGCAGATGACAACTGTCAAGCTGTGAAGCTGTTGCTTGCATCTAGCTGTAGTTTTGCCCTGGTCTGTCTTAGACAGTTTATAGTCTTGGAAAATGGTTAGATACACCTCTCTCAGTATCAGTAATGCTAACAGCTCTTTATATGAAATTTAGATCCTTTTATTCAAAATGGACTACTTTCCTATTTGATTTTGATACTAGTTGTCACTTGACAGCATCAGTTCTGGTAATTGTTACTTGCTATAAAGCAATACAGTCACTGGAGTAACTGAACTCTGGTTGATTAGATTTAACTAATGGTAATATCTGTGCACCACCCTACAGCCCAAGGCTGTAACATTAAAACTTGAATTACAAGACTTGCTTAGGTTACATATTTACTTTGAGGGAACTTAATCGGAGCCTCAAATTTCCTATTCTTTTATCAAAGTGGTGAAGGTTGTCTAATATGGTATTTATCTGAGTGGACTGTAGAGTTGCATCAGGTTTCAAGATGTGTATAAACAACCAAATTCTTCACAAACATGAATATCTTATTTCAGTATGGGCTGTCCCAGCTTCAGGTCAAAAGCTGTAGGACAGGTAGTCAATGAGTCAATCCAACAGCTGACTTCCTGGAGAAGCAAAATAGCTTACTATATGGTAGCTGTTCTTTTGATCAAACATGGTAGCTATGATCAATCAAGTTATATTTCTTGGGTAGTAGCTACATAAATGAATAAGTTCTAGAAGCTTACTGAGAAGGAAAAGGTTGGGTTAAAATACAATGTTCTTGATTCTAAGAAAGTTCTAGAAACTGATCTAGGCATATGGATTTAAACCATAGCATAGCAGGGTGGTGGTGTTAGAGCCTTTAGCTGGTAGTGTTAAGCACTTGTCTTGAAATATGTTTTAGGTATTTAAAGTAAATGCACCACTGCCTCCACGTAAAGACCAGGAAATTAAAGAGGATTCTTCATATTCAGCGGGATATAATCAGAGTTTCTCTACAGCAAGTACACAGACTCCTCCTCAATGCCAGTTGCAATCTTCTCATGTTGCAGAACAAACATCTCTTTCACAAGAATCTCTATCTTCAGGTGAGAACTGTACTTGTCTCTCTGTATTTCAAGTAGAGTTTAAAGTTCTTCAGCTTATAGTACTATTTTAATTCATTAATATGTGCTGTGAGTATATGCAGGTTCTTCTCACTTAGTGAAATTCTGAACCACTGTTATGTAGCACCTGTTAACATTGGGGTTACATCAACTCTAATCTAGGTGATGGTATGGTATGTAAACTTAATTTCAAAACTGCTAGCAGGATGGAAGGCTGCTTCAAACAAATTTCTATACTAGTTGTATCAACAGTGTCACCTACAGGCCTGAAAGATAACTTCCTGCCTGCTGGGAAACTCAAGTATGTGGTGATACTTGTCAGTCAAAAAGTGTTTGCTTGGAATTAAAGCAGTGATGAAATACTTCATTTGGAACCATTAATTTTGTCTGTGGTAATAGACACTATTGTCTGTAGTGCTGGGAGCTGCAGAATGCTAAAAAAGTTGGGATAAGCTTTCAGTGCTGAGGTGAATTACTGAAGTGGTAAGTAGCTTGCGCTACTGGTACAAGACTAAAACGTGTCATCCAAGAGCTGCTTGGGATTTAGAATTTTCTTATTTTAACAATGGGCTGGTATCTTTCCTTTGAACTTACAGCTCACAACATAATCACTGTGAAACACATTGCTGATCTTGACTGTACCAGTACTTGCCAAAATCTTCATGTGGACATTACACCTTACTATATTAGAGATAAGCATTCTAGATGTTACTGACAGGTCACGTCTGCCATTCCTTATCATTCAAGCTGTATCTTGTAATGTTGAAGTTCCAGCTTTCTGTAGCAGACATCCATGTTGTCCCTAATTGGGTGCTAAATTTGTCACTTATTTGTTACCTGCAAAGGCTAGTTTCTTAACTAGGAGGCCTCAATCACAAGTTACTGTAATTTAGTGTGGTACTGAGAATCAGCTGAGCTGCAGGAACTGTTCATGCATGTGCTTTTAGCATAAAACAGGTGCAAGCTGATGACAGCCTACTCTGCAGCAAAAGATAATCCTCCTCTTACTTCTGTTTATATAGCTCTAGCTTCTTACCAAGGCTGACTTTATTAGCTGTTTGAGTCTGAGTATCTGACCTGAAGAATACTAAACTTCTGATAAGCGGTGTCTTGAGCTGCCTATTCAACACAAAACTGACCTGCTTGACATTCAGATACTGTTAGGTGAATTTATATGGCTGACACTAAGAATTTGAAATGAGACTAGCCCCTAAATTTGCCTGAAACAGGTTCCAGGATGAAAGGAGTCTGACAGCTAGGAATCTGGATTTATAAGACTATATCTAAGTCATGCAAGGTCATGACTGTTTTTTCTGCCAGAGGACTCTTCATAGGACTTATAGTAGCAATAGACTGATACTGTGTGAAGTCAGCGAGACACACGAAGATTAAGAGCTCTAACAAATAACATATGTATAGCAGTCTGCAAAGCATGTTTAGCTTGAATGCTCCTCATCACTGAGACTGCAAGTGATCAGCCTTCTGTACAGTTTTTTTGATGGAACATAATTTTTTGATCTTGTGCAGTGGGTCTGCACAGACTTCAGAAAGGGGTTTAGACTGTCACTCTGGATCAGTTTTGAGCTTTCTGGATTGATAAAAAGCATGGTTGTGTGGAAACACATTCAAGCATGCAAGGTCTGTATTTAAAGCTAACCACTCAACCACCCTGTGAGTGAAAAGCATAATATTGAGTTGGTCTCGTCATCCTGAAGGATGTCAACACTCAGGTGACCTAGCTTATCAGATAGACCACTGAGGTCTTGCTAGTAGAACAGTGTTGGTTCTAAGTGAAAATTCTTAATCAGGTGTTACTTGATTTTATTCTAGCTTGGTGTTGTGGTTTAATCCTTGCTGGCAACTAGGACCATGGAGCTTTGTACTCACTGTCTGCTGTCCCCCATGCCCTCCACCCATTGCAGCAGTAGGGCAGGGAGAAGAGGAAGAGAAAGGAGGGGAAAAAAGAACTTGTGGGTCGAGATAAAGACAGTTTAATAGTACACTGAGGGAAGAGAATGCAGTTGCTTTCACCACCTGATGATCGATTGTAGATCCCTGCCCTCCCAACCCCCCATTTATACCCTAAGCATGATATCTATGCTATGGAATATTCTTTTTGGCCAGCTTGTCCTGTCTATGCTCTTTCTCAGCTTCTATGGGAAGCTGAAAATGTCCTTGACTAATGTAAACATTACTTTAGCAACAACCAAAACAACATGTATTATCAACATTCTTATGCTAAATCCAAAACACAGCAGTGAAGAGAAAGAAAAATAACACTATCCCAGCTAAAACCAGGATACTTGGTTATTTTCTTGATGCTGCTAGCAAGCTTGCTCTGACCTAGGCAACAGAATCTTGTCTTACACATTAGAGGCTTACACTGACAGCCTGGGCTGTCTACAGTATGCTTTAACATTGTGCTCTACAGAACAAAGGGGAGGATCCTCACTTATTTGGAGTAATGAAGGGGCACAAGAACAGGATATTCAGAGCAGCTTAATCAGTCTCTGAACTTCCTAATGCTGCCCTTCCTTCTAGGTATGGTAACTTTACAGTTATAAAACCACTGAATTCATCTGTGCCTTTTGTTTTAACCAGTGAATTATCAACCTGATGGAGCTGTTCCTGTTAGCAATGGTAGCCTTGCCTTTTATCCAGCACAGACTAATGTTATTCCCAGACCCCCTCAGCCTTACCTTAACAGTCGTGGGTCTGTCAGAGGATCTGCTAGAGGTGGAAGGTCACTGGCTAATTCATATCGTTCCCCTGGTGGGTACAAAGGTATGTATGTGTGTTCTGCCACCTTAAAAAAAAAAATATTAAAAAATCTAATGTAGTAACACTAGAACATGATTTAACACAACATGGTATTAAATTTTGGTTCTATATGTGAAACATCTTAAAACAAGACTCTTTAAAGAGCAGTGTGCAGAGAATGGGGTCTTCCTTTGTAAAATTTAAGCAAGTTCATTCACAGCTCTTTGTAATCCCTGTACTTTGGGTGTCAGGTGAACTGGCAGAGCGATTTCATAGCCTATTGAATTATGAAAGTAGAAACTTTCACTAATAGGTTATTAAATTCCTTAATTGTATAGACTTTTCTGCTTGCTGTTTGATTTACCCATCTGAACATTTTTACTCCCTCTATTCTTTCTCTTGGTATCTGTCTTGCTAACATTCTGGGCAGGTATTTTCTCTTCAGATGTCATTTGCAGTATTTGCCCAAAACATGATACTCTTTGCTTAGCACTGCTGGCTTTAATATTACCAGCAGAAACTGGGATGGGGGGAGAGGTTACCACTAGTGGAGAGCCCTTCTGGATTAATAACAAACTGAAGGGTTTTAAGAGAAAGAAAGACTGTTTGGTCTCTGCAAATTAGTTGCTATTCTGCTGCTAGCTGAAGTACTATGGAAAGTTTCAGCTGACTCTTGGCAGATACCAGCTTAAGGTCATTGATAGCTGTGGCCTGTTCCACATTGAAGTGGAATGGCACTTAGTCTGTGACAGAAGTTCTTTCAGTTACTGGGCTGAGACTGCTCAATACCTTGTAGGAACATGTACCAGAAAATAAGTTAATAGTTTGAATTTATCACCAGTTAAGGGTTTGGTAGTTAGTGTAATAGCTAAAGATGCCAAATATTATAGTACTTAAATGTGTAACAGTTATAGCTAAGCATCTGTAATAGCAAAAGAAGGGTTTTAATTCTGCTAAATCTTGTCTCTGGATCTAGCAAGTTTTTCAGCTGTTCTGTGAAATCCTGTTAATATCAAACAGGTCTGATGTCAATACTACTAAACATGTAATTTTGTTACATATATTGGGTACTTCAGAGTAGCTAATGAAACACATTCTTTATAGGAGTAGTGAGACTCTGAAATATGGAATAGATGTGTAATTTATAATGTAATACACATGATAATTGCCAAAAGGGAGCTCTAGTTGTATTCTGGACTTGTACTTGTAAACCAAACCATGAATACCATTGAATAATCAATGTTATTTGAACAGGTTTTGATGCTTACAGAGGCTCACCTTCAATAACTAATGGCAACTATGGCCAGCTGCAGTTCCCTGGTAGAGATTATGCTGGAATGCCATATTCTCAGAGGGTAAGCATTGACTTTGTTTCCAGTAGCTGCCTTGAGCACTGTGCAGGAGAAGTTGTCTAACTGTAGCTTTTCATTGTCCTAACGTGCGCTATTCTTTACAAATTAGAGTTTAGTTTTGTTTCCTAGTTGAAACCCTTTTCTGGAACAGTATACAGCAGTTGAAATAGGAAGTCAGTTCAGACAGTATCTCTGTATAACACATTTTAGTCTGAAGGGAATCTCCAAAATGCAAACAGATGGCAAAGAAGATGTGGTATAAAATGGACTTGTAGTCTACTTTACTATGGATTTTAAAGTTAGTCCTCAATGCTTCTGTAGTGTAAAATAATGAATTATTAAATGGATTACTCAGAATGCGGTTAGGCAAAAAAACCTCAAAAACCAATGTGTAAGAAAGCAAAGGTTTTCAGCTTTGAAGTGTAATATTCTTCTGTGCCAGACCTATGATTTAATGTAATGCTCAATGAACTGAACATATAATTCGGAAGCTAACTTGCTGAACTGGCATTTAAATAGTTTTTTAATTTCATACAAGCTATTGTAAAAGTAAATTTTTCCCACGAATAAGGCTGTTTATGTACATCTTAATTCTGAACTCCATTGTCTGAGAGACTGAATTAATTGTGCAACTGAAAAAAACATCAGTATTTGGTAGTCCTGTTTTGTTTTCAGATTTGCTTATAGCAACTGTAGAATAATTTGGGGTGGAAAGGACCTTAAAAGGTCATCTAATCCAAACTCTCCTCTAGTGAATGTTTCAACTAGACCAGTTTGCTCAGAGCCCTGTCCAACCTTACTAATACTTCTGGGTTTTTTTTAGGATGTTAATTACCAGCAGTGCTATAAACGAGGTGGGATAACTAGTGGTCCTCGAGCAAATTCAAGAGGTAAGGCTAATGTCAGGTTCCCAGTGGTACATGTATGTGCCTGGGCATAGGAGATGCTGAAGTGGAGTGTTATTGTGAATAGTGAGGAAAAAGTGTACTACCACTGGTCAAACAGATCAAGCTCAGTATAAATTAACTAAGATAGATGAAGGCTCAAGTACTGTTCTTAGTTAGCATTGCATAGCAGCAGATTTAATTTCACCTCTCAATTTGGTGTCTTTGCATGTCAAAGTTCTGACACAATGATACTTTAAATGAACTTTCTTCACAAATAAAGTGACCTGGAAATACACACAGGGTGGTCCCCATGTTGCATTTGGCTTCATCCCTTAATTGTATGGTCTCCCCTGATTCTGGGTGAGCTATCAGATCCCAGAGGCTTTGTAAGATATCTCTTTATATGAAAAATTGTTTGTTTGGGAATACAGATTTACTTTGTACTTCCATGCTGGAGTACAAAAACCTAAAGAAATATATAACACTTGCTGTTTCAATCCAAGCATGAATAGCATGTATTTTGAAAAGTTGTAAACAAGATTTAATCCTAGAAAATTTGCTGGAAAAAAGCTGGACTTACAGTGCTATAGGTGAAAAGCAAGATGAATAGTAACTATAGATCACTACTTTGAAGAATAAAGAGAAATTATAGCATATTGTGGAAACTGGTTTAGGGTAAAGCAGGTCATTTCTCAGTCAGAGAGGACTCAATGTAATTCAGAAGAGAATTACGAGAAATATGAGAGATATCAATAAGATAGTAGTAGCAATTTTAGTCTTATTTGATATCTTAAGGTGTTCCTTTCTAGGGGAAATAACAGTGGCTTGAAACCTGAGGGTGACTGCTTTAAATTCTGTAGGTCTGTTAATGTTTTCATTCTACGCACTTCTAGCTTGAATAGTTGAAAAAGAGAACAGCTTCATTTTGGGGAGCATGGTGCAGGAAGTTTAAAAGCAATTCTGATTATTCAAACAAAATATTCTAGCCTCATAAGTTGATAGGACCTACTAAGAATGCAGCTCTAGAAGAACACTATTGAGGTAACTTGAAGTGCAAATTCAGATCTTGAAGGTGACTAAATGACTGCTTCGTTCTTGGTAATTCTGCCAATTTTTGCAGAAATTATAATTTATCTCCACTCAGAAGATGGCATATGCTTTTTTTTATGGTAACATATGTACGTGGCAAATGCCAAAGCTAAAACTATTCAAAGCTAGTGCCCTCTCCTACTTAAAAGTATGAAAAATATGTAGTTAA